ATATCGAACTTTTCAAAAATTCATACCGATATTGTACCGAAAACTTAGGTACAATATCTATACCGTACCGAAATTTTCAGTATACCGAAATTTTCGATATTTTCAACACAATACAAAATATTTTGATATGATTGGTAAATTTATCCATCCCTAGTCGTGGATGGCTGGAAGGCATTCAATGAGTAGTGGGTAAAAAATAAACAAATTGAATAGTGGGTCCCACTTGTTAGGTTAAACAAACCATTCATTGAGAATAAATAATCTTATTGTATTAACATTATATGAATTTAATTATATAAGTTGATATTTTATTTTATTTAACTTTTTATATTCTATAAATTTTATTTTTATAAAATTATATGCATATGGATTATTAAATTACATAATTTCAAAAATCATTCAAAATATATCTATAATTTCTATGTAAATACATTTTAAACCTCAACGCTATATTTTTAATGGAAAAAAATTAAAATAAAGAATTTTCAAACAAAGTAACTTTCAAAACTCATGATATTTATTTTTATGTTTTTATAATTTACAATATTAATAATTGTTTGAATATGATATTTTGTAAAATAAAATAATATTTTCACTAACCTATTCAATATATATATATATATTTATTTATTTAGGTCACGGAGTTAAAGAAATATTATATGTTAGAATTAATGTTATACTCCACAATAATAATTTTGTATTTGGCACAAAATTATAAAAATATTGATATTATATTAATAGTTGGTAAAAAATATAAATTAAATATTTTTGTCATTGTGAATATATTAGTGTAAAAAGTAATGATATTTGCATAATAATAATAATAAAGTAGAGGTAATTTTATAATAATATGATTATTTATAAAAATAAGATTATTGTTTAAGACCAACAAAAATGGAAAAACAGAAGTACTAAATACTCTCTCCGTCCAAATCATATGAAATAATTTTGTTATTTTCGCATGTCCAACTCAAATGTATTTTTTTTTTTTTTAAGAAAAAAATCATATAACACAATATTGGTTTTGTTATCCCTACAAATTTTATAATAAACAATACAAATTTTTTTACAAAAGTCAAAAAAGTCAAAATAAACTTCAAATACTCACTATAAAAAACCAAATATTCAACTTAAAATAATATATTTTATATTTTTGACATAATTTCACATATCACACACAAAAAATAATTCATTTAAAAGCGTTGGGTGAATGAAGCCATGTCACTAAAAAGCATATGGATTTAAGAACAAAATCATTTTTTTCTTTTTCTATTATACTATTATTTATGAAATACTAATACATTAAAATTCACATGCAACAAAACAAATGGATACATATGATAACGTGAGAAATATTAACTAGTGAATACTTTTGGGTTCAAAGACTTTCTTGTCATTAAATTATACTACTTTTTGTCCAGCTCTAAGGGTCTCATTTACTTTTTGTGTGTTGATATTTAAATATTAATTATTATATTAAAACATAATACAAATTAAGAAAAAATTGGAAAAATAATTTCATTAGTGTCTTATAATAGCAATATAAGAACATTTGTACAAAAAATTATACAAATATAAGGATATTTTTAATGTTAAGTACAATGACGCAAAAGGTAAATGAGACCCTTAGAAACGGACGAAGAGAGTATAATTTGATGCAATAATATTTATATACCCCCTTCGTCCCATAACTATATATCCATTTGTTTTTTGAACGGGATTTTAGAAATACTAATATTATATTGGGATGTAGTAGGAATGAAATAGGAATAACTAAAATAACACCTTATTAGTATTGTATGATATAAAGATAATGACATTTCTGTAATATATTGTAAGTTGTAAGGGTATTTATAATGTTAGATAGACAGTACAATTACTAAAAAAATGAAATAGATACCTTGTTATGAGACGGACTAAAATGAAAAAATAAATAGTTTATTATGTGACGGAGGGAGTAAATAAATTTAATATTGAAGATATTAATAATATTTAGTAAAGTCATATTTATTAAAAGAATATACTATATTTTATGTTAGAAGAAAAAAAATAAAAAATTGCATATATTTCATACAAACAAATATAGTAAGTTTATAAAAAAAATAAAAATAATGAGGATTGAATGGTAAAAAAAATTTAGAAATGACAAAATGAACACATTCATATATACAATAGTAAAAGTCATAATGTTTTTATATATAAGAATTCACAATCCCTATTTTACAAATATCTATTAAATAAATCTTCCAAAATAACTTACAAACCATGTCACTAAGATATATCCTACTAAACAAGATAGTTACGGGTGTGTTTGTTTGGAGGATTGGATTTAAATCCAACTATTCATCCAATTTTTTCCCCCCTAAAAATATCAAATCAAACACCTATTTTTTATTTTTTGTATTATACTAAAAATCAAATTTATATTCAAAACATCACATCAACACTTATTTATATCACATCATACAACTATTCAAATTCAAAATTTTTACTATTCATATCCCAATTCAAAATCTAAATCCCCAAACAAACACACCCATATTTGTAGGTGTTTGTATATATAAAAATTATAATAATATGAATTAAAAATATATACTTCTGTTTATAAATGTAAATGTATCTCGAACATGAAGTTTGTAATAAAAATAATAATAATAATAACAATAATAATAAATTGTATTTTAAAAAAAAACAAACAAACATCAAACATAATAATTAATATACATACGTAAAATACTTAATTAATGTAAAATTATAATAAAAAAAATCGCAAATCATACTTAAATATATTAAAAAATCATTGTTCGTTTAATCTTCTTTGTTTTGAAATTATTCATATTCTTTTTTATAAAGAAATCAAATCAATCTTTTATTTTTGAATTATAAAAAAAAATTAATTTTATATTTAAAAAAATCAGATCAAAACATAACTTTATCGCATCAAATAAATTATAATTCAAGATTTCAAAATTTAAATTCAAACTTCAAATTCTTAAAAAAAACTTCGAATGTGCCGAGAAATTATAACTCAATGTGTTGAGCACTCTTTGACATGCTTTGAAGTTGGAGTTTCAATCACCATGCCCGTAGTGTATGTGTGAAAAACAAATAAACATTTCGAATTTGGATTTTTTGAAATTTAATTGGATTGAAAATATTTAATTTAAATTTTATACTCAGTCTCTAAATTTAGAAAGATAAGAAAAAACAAAAAAAATAAAAAATTAACTCTTATATTCATTTTTTTAAATAGCATTTTTTTGTAATATTATATAAACTATATGAGTAAGTTTATTTAGGTGATAAGCACAATTAATGAAAAAGAAAAACAAATACATCTAAAATGAAAGTATTTAAATATAAGAACAAATACATCTAAAATGAAAAGTATTTAAAGTAATATTTGATGTGATACTTTAAATAATAATAATAATACTTTTCAGTAGAAAATATTTATTTGTTTTTTTAGTGGATTAAGAAATAATATAATTTTATTAATTAATAAAAATAAAAATGATATTTTTGATTTTTTTTTACTTTTACAGATACAAAAGAAAAAGATACTTCCGTAAAAATTATACTTCTTCCGTCCCACATTGGAAGTCTTGGTTAGTATAGATACGAGAATTTAGGATAAGCATAATTAATAGATAATTAAAAATGTATTAATGAAAATAATTAACCTATAATATAAATTATTATAGATTAAGATTAAGATAACTTATTAGTTTAATTAAAATTAAAAAAAATTAAAATTAAAAAATTTATATTGAGATTAAGATGCATAATCATTTTCCAAAAAAAAAAAAAATTTACATGAGATGTGAGACGGACAGAAACGGTAACATGGACATAGTAGGTGGGACGGCTTGTGTTTGTAAATTTATTACTTTTAATATAATAAAGAATTATTATTTTTTAATTGAAATTGACAAAAATGATAAAAATAATATATTGAATTAATATGAAAATAGTATAATTTTTTTAAAAAAATAAATAATAAAATAATAATATTGTACTCCTTCCGCCCTATTATAAATGATACATTGAGTTAGAGACACGGTTTGTAAAGTGATACTTTTAATTAGTTAATAATAATAAATTATGATATTATTTTATTATTTATTATGTAAAAAATATTATTAGTAATTTTAAAATAAAAAATAATATATAGATAATTAAAAAAATTTAAAATATATATTTAAATATTTTAAAAATTATATTTTAATAAAATATGTGCCATATAAATATAAAAATTTTATATAATACAAATAAATAAAAATAATATTTATTTGTTTATAATTAACATAAATTAATTTTATAAAAGATTAAAAATTTTAAATATAGATAGAATATTTGTTTATTGAAAATACACATAAACAAAGGGATTTTTAAGTGAATTCTACATAATGTACAGTTATATATTTTAAAATCAATTAAATTTATTTATATTTATTAAACATGTATTAAATTAATAAAATTTATCAAATATAAAAAAAATATTATTTATTTATATTTATTAAACATGTATTAAATTAATAAAATTTATCAAATATAAAAAAAAATATTATTTATTATGAGACAGAGATTAGTGCTTATTTTTTCTTTTTACCTAAAATATTTATGGCGTTAAGAATACATACATATATATATCTCTATGGATACGATTTTGAGAATACTATTTCCGTAAACAGCAAAAATAATTTGAATTTCGAAAGGGCAAAACAGTAAGTTCACATATTCCCCCCTGTACTACTACTACCACGCCTGTGGCTACGGCTACGTGTCGCTTTCCATTACAATCCATATAATAATATTCTCGTTAGCAAATTTGAATGCGGAGGAGCGACTGCACCAAAATATAGACGTTGGTAACTTCGGGCATTTGGCAGCTTCACCCAGCGGCCTAATTTCCCATTCACATTCAAACCCCCAAACCCATGCCCACCCCCCCCCCCCCCCTCTATATCTCTCTTCCATGGATCTGAATTTTTGAAAAAAAAATAAAAATAAAAAATTGAGCAGAGCCCTTGTTGTTTTTGATTCGATTTTGTATTGAGATGGAGAGCAAGAGCAATGGCGGAGATAGGTGCCCCTCCGACTCGGCGGCGGCGGACAGTAGTTGCGAGAGCGGACTCAGTTCCGACAAGTCCTCCTCTTGTTCTTCGGTTTCTTCTGTCGGAAAGGGTTTCGACACTTTGCCGACTTCTGAGATGTGTAATAATAATGGTAATAATAATACTAAAATTAAAAGTAATGACGATTCAAAGCAGGTTTCGCAAGTCTCATCAGGTCAGTTAATCAATTTATTACCGATTAGTTTTAGATTTGGTATATAGATATGGTTTCCGATCGAGATTTGAATTAAATAGCAGAGCTGGAAATGATGAAGGAGAGGTTTTCGAAATTGTTGCTGGGCGAAGACATGTCGGGAAGTGGCGAAGGAGTCTGTCCAGCCCTGGCCATTTCCAACGCCATTACCAATCTCTTCGGTACTCTAAACCTGTTTGAAATATTAATCCAAAATTAAACCTTGTACTTAATTACTTGTCTTGACTGCCGCTGCAGCCACCGTGTTCGGCCAGGTATGGCGGCTTGAGCCCATTCCGCCGGAGAAGAAGGCCATGTGGCGGCGGGAGATGGATTGGCTTCTCAGCCCCAGTTATCACATTGTCCAGCTCACCCCTTCCTGGCAGACATTGCCCGACGGAACTAAACTCGAGGTTTAATTCGATCCGTGTAGAAAATTTTGAAAGTTTTTATCAAAAGATAATTGATGTGATCTTATTTGAAAGTTTAAAAAGTATCTATACAAACGATTTGCTTGTTAGGTGATGGCGTCGCATCCGAGATCCGATCTAGTTATAAATCTCCCAGCTCTGCGAAAGCTCGACGACATGTTGCTAGTAAGCTTTTAAGGGGGGATTTAATTAGCTAGATAGATTACTTGATTGTTTTGTTGTCACAATAACGGTTGATCTAACAGCTTCCTTGTCGCCACGTCGCAGGAAATCCTCGACGGATTTTCTAGTACCGAGTTTTGGTATGTCGATCAAGGCGTAAAAGCACCTGAAACCGACCCTTCGATTCCAGCCGCCACGTGGAAACACGCGATCCCGAGGCAGGACGACAAGTGGTGGCTGCCGGTTCCACGTGTCCCTCCCGACGGCCTTTCCGAGGAGACACGTAAGAATTTGATCAGCAGGCGCGACTGCATCAATCAGATACTTAAAGCCGCGGTATCCATCAACAGCATTGCTCTGGCCGATATTGAAGTTCCGAATTCGTACCTCGAAAGTCTTCCAAAGGTACGATCAATCGCCGAAATCCATGATTCGCGCATTCAATGATGATGTTGATTAACGATTCGCGATATCTTTTGTTGGTTGTGTTAATTAGAACGGTCGAGGTTGTCTTGGAGATGTAATGTACCGCTACATCACTTCCGAACACTTCTCAGCCGACTGTCTCCTCGACTGCCTCGACTTGTCCTCAGAGCACATTGCGCTCGAGATGGCGAACCGCGTGGAGGCTGCGACGCACATCTGGCGCGCAAGGCAGCATCCAAAACCGCCAGCTCATCCAAACCTTTCCGCGGCCAAATCGTCGTGGAGGATCGTTAGGGATCATTCGGGGCTTGCGGAAAGAGCCGAGAGTCTATTGTATAGCTTGAAGCAGCGATTTCCGGGGCTCACTCAAACCACTTTAGACGCAACCAAAATCCAATGCAACAAGGTCGGTTTATTTTTTTACTGTCATTCAAAACTATGCTCACTGAGTGGTGATTATTGATCACCGTAAAGATTTTAAAAATTTTGTAGGACGTAGGGAAGTCGATCTTGGAGAGCTATTCTCGGGTTCTAGAAAGTTTGGCATTTAACGTCGTGGCACGCATCGAGGATGTGCTCTACGTAGACGGCATAACTAAAAACTCGGACAAGGACTCGTCGTCGACGGTCCCGCCGGCAATGGCAATGGGCTTGGTTCCTTGTAAGAAGGGCACATTGCCATTCTCGGTGCCCGCCTCGGGCACTCCCTACCGGTCAGCCTCGAGCACACCGACGCCGTCGTTTTCTCCGGCGAAAGGCGGGGAGCAAACCCCGTTTCTTAGCAGGACCGGCGGGGGGAACAAGCCCCCGCGGCGAGGGATGGGGGTGAAGAGGGCACTGACAAATTATCTAGGCGGCGGCGGCGGCGGGGGTGGCGGAGGAGAGTCGAGGGTTGGGTGTGGGAACATTCTAGAAGGGCTGGGGTCGATTTCGAGCAGGATCGCGGAAGGGGCGGTGTCCCGACTCAGCATGGAACAGCAACAACAACATTCAAATTCTAGATCATCACAACAAAAGGACAAGGACTCGCCATTATTATAGATAGATTATATATATATATATATATATATATAGATAGTTTTTAACTGATTCAGACATCGTCACATCGTCCATATATATTGTCCTTCTTAACTAGGAATGAATGAATGCATCATCAATCAAATCATATTTATATTTTCATTTTATATGAAGATGATGATTGATAGTCAAGGAAGCAATGCCTGCTGCTGCTGCTGCTGCTGCTGCTGATTGTCGATGTCAGGTTGTAACTCAAAGATAGAGGCTCTGTTTAAGAAAACATATATTCATTCATTTCACATTATTCATTTTTTAAAAACTATTACATCAAATATATATTTTTTTTCACAAAACTATTACCTTTTTTTTCAAATTTTCAAAAAACTCCAAAAACCCTTTATTTAAACAACCCCCCTCTTTTTTTTTTTTTTTTCCCCTCTTTTTTTTTTTTTTTTTTTTTTTTTTGGGCTTTCAAGAAACAATGCAGAGGAAGCAATATTTTAACTAATAATCACATATGTCTAGTCACTAAAATATCTAGGGTACTTTTCCATGTTGTGAAGTTGTGTCTAAAGTTGGTGGGCTTTTTCGATCTATCGTAAAATTACATGAGTTAAGAAAAGCGAAAACAAAAATTAAATAAAATATAAATTAATAATAAATCGATTGAAAATGAAATTAACATGTTAAAGAGCTAAAAAAACAATCACTAATTTAGAACAATCACAACGGTTGTTTTTCAAAAGCTTCCAAATATTTATAAAATATGATAGTATTCAGAGTTTTTAAATTCAAGTCATCTAAAATTTTAAAATTACCTACAATGATTTCTTAAATGCGGAAGCTTCTAGATGAGAGAAAGAGAAAAAAAAAAAAAAAAAAAAAAAAAAAAAAAAAAAAGAGAACTGAGTTAGAAAGGATAAAAGAGATAAAGAGGAGAAAGGAAAAAAGAGAATGAAAAAAAAAAAGAAAAAAAAAAGTGAGCCAGAAAAAGTAAAAGAGATGAAGGGAGAAAAACCAAAAAGAGAGCAAGAAAGAGTAAAATGTTTGACCTTAGCCTTGTTGGGTTTTTAAAAGGTGAAGGAGAAATATGAAAAGTCTATCTCACATTGAAAACACGAGAGTTTTATGTCTTTTTATATCAACATTCATCTTATTTATGATAAATGATAAAATTGGTTGGACTAGAGTTAGTTTGGACTTTGACTAAATTGATAGTCAAAGATAGGGCCGTAGGACTCGTAGGCCACACAGGTTGAACCCAATATCAATAAAATCAATTTGTATTTTATTATTTTATCTAATTAATTAATTTAACTTGAAAAATCAAATAATCAGATAAAATATTATTGTTGCAACTGAATTGCAACGTGCAAATGTGGGTGCGAGATTAACGTCTTCCTCTTCACGTGTTTAAAACAATAAATAATCACCAAAACATTATTTTTTTTCTCCTCTTTAAAAACTCAGTATTAAAACGTGCGAAGATCACTATTTTTTTTAATGAAAAAGACTCTCTTCTGAAAAACTCTCTCAGAAAATTAATTTCTTTCTACAAGTTTTTTCTCCAAAAAGCTTCCAACTTCGGTGTGCGGAATTTGTTATTCCGTAAGAAATTCATTTTATCCTGGGAGACGATCAGTAGATGGGCCGAATTCACTTCAAGGAAATCGCGTGGTACGCGAGGCTCGAATTAATTTAAATCTAATTTTTGATCTCGTTACCAGATTTGGTGATTTGATTTTGTCATATCTCGGATTCGCTATTAACTACTCCAACAATCTTGAAGCGAATTCGTGTGATGAAATTTGAGATGGCTGACGAAATTCCCCATATCCACAATCAAATCGAGGCTGCCCAAATCGTACTTGCAAATGAAGCAATGATCGACGCGATGAGCGATCCTGACAAAAATCTGAACGATCTGAATGATGACGTTCAGAATGGTGCAGACGGAGACGAGAATGATAAGGTGAATTCCAACGAGTCTCACATTCCCGCTCATACTGTTCCGTTATCTCAACCACCCCGCACAATCTGTGAAGCCTTTGAAATCGTTGCTACCAGACGCGAAGCGCGCGAGGCGGCCAGGAGGGCTGCTGCGGAAAAGGCTGCGAAGGCAGCGTACGAACAGGCCTTCAAGGCCGCGATTGAGGGGGCGCAACCTAGTGCTGCGACCTCCAACCATCCTGTTGTTGGACTACAGAAACGGCATTCTGCTAATACACGAGTGAAACAACCTGTTGTTGTTCTACCTCGTCCTCAGCGTATGGTTGTAGGACCTGTGTAGGGTCTCGTTGCATCTGCCGGACAACACTAGACGAGTTGGAGGGCATGTTGCTGTTATAGACCATGTAATGCAACCTGTTGCTGCAACTTTTAGGCAGCTTGTTGCTGCGGCAGCCGATAAGCTAGAAAAATTTAACGGGCAGAATTTTAAGACATGACAACAAAAGATGTTGTTTTATCAAACCACGATGAATATGACAGATTAGCTAACAGAAGATGCACTTGTTGTGCCTGAAGGATCCTCGGAAGAACAGAAAGCACAAATTCTGAAAGCCTGAAACCATTTAGACATTATGTGCAAAAATTATGTACTGAACGGCTTGAGCGACTCCTTGTATGGTATATACCGTCATGCACTAACAGCTAAACAGTTGTGGGAGACGCTGGAGAAAAAGTATATAACCGAGGATGCTGGTGCAAAGAAATTTATCATCGGAAGGTTTTTGGATTTCAAAATGGTCGATGGAAAAAGTATTACGAAATAGCTTGATGCGTTTCAGCTGATTCTGCATGAGATCCAAGCCGAGGGGATGTAGCTGAGTGAAGCTTTCCTAGTGGCAACGATAATTGAAAAATTGCCACCTAGTTGGGGTGATTTCAGAATTTACTTGAAACACAAACACAAAGAAATAGATATGGCGAGACTGATTAATCATCTCCAAACTGAAGAAGAGCAATGATCGAACCTAGCAAACATGGGACATCTGGTACTCGACAGCAAGGCCAATGTAGTCGAGCACAAAGCCGAAGGCTCTCGTTTCAAGATAGTTCTGAGGAACAATGAGCAACCAGAAAAGAACTGGAAGCCAACGGACAAGGGAAAAGAGAAGTTGAAGCCATCTGGTGGCGTTGAAAAGACAAAAAATTACCTTCAAAGGTAACAGTTTCAATTGCGGAAAGGTCGGACACTGTTCTATAGACTGCAAGGCGCCGAAAAGAAAAAAAGAGATGAATCAGGCACACGTCGTTACTAAATATGAAGAGCTACTTGACCTGACATGTGTTGTCTCTGAGGCAAATCTGGTGTGATCAAACAAGAAATAGTGGTGGCTCAACACGGGAGCAACACGCCATATCAGTATGGACAGGAATCAGTTTTCTCATTCGAGCGTGTCGAAGGAGAAACGATGTACATGGGGAATGTTGTTCCTGCTGAAGTCAAGGAAAAATGAAAGATGCTTCTGAAGATGACGTTTGGAATAGTTGTAACGCTGACCAATGCCTTGTACGTGCCAACAATGATGAAGAACCTGGTCTCGGGGACACTCCTGATGAAAAACGGCTTTAATATTAATCTGAATGGTGATAATTTTGTTTTGCGTAAATTAGGAGTGTATGTGGGTAAAGGTTATGTGGAGGATGGACTTCTGAAATGTTGTATTATGACTGTCATTGAAAATAATCATAATAAGTTTGTTGCTTATATTGTTGAGTCATCTACTTTATGGCATAGTCGATTGGGTCATGTTAATTATGATTCAATTCGTCGATTAATTAACCTGAACCAAATTCCAAGGTTCGAATTAAATAAATTAAAATGTGAAATTTGTGTTGAAGCAAAACAAACTCGGTCGTCTTTCCAAACACGATGTGGTAATAAATATTTTATTACATTTATTGATGATTGTACAAGATAATGTTATGTGTATTTACTTAAAAGCAAAGATGAGGCATTAAGTAAATTTATTTTGTACAAAAATAAAGTGGAAAACCAACTCAACAAATGGATTAAACGAATTCGAAGTGGTAGAGATGGAGAATATGAAACTCCGATTGGTGAATTTTGTGCACAAAATGGAATAATTCACGAAGTGACTCCACCTTATTCACCTCAATCAAACGGCGTCGTTGAACGTAAAAATTGCACATTAAAAGAAATGATGAATGCGATGTTGTTAAGTTGTGGACTACCCTAAAACATGTGGGGGGAGACAATATTAAGCAGTAATTATCTGCTTAACTTAATACCTCGGAAAAAGATGAAGAAGACCCCTTATGAGTTTTGGAAAGGTTGAAAACCATCTTACAAACACCTTCGAGTGTGGGGGTGTCTAGCTAAGGTAGCGGTAACACCTCAAAAACGTGTAAGAATCGGTCCCAATCCCAAGACAGTGGACTGCATTTTAATAGGATATGCACATAACAATACTGCTTATCGGTTCTTGGTATTCAATTCGAAAATTTTGGATATCCCAAAAAATATGATAATGGAATCAAAGAATGCATCATTCTTTGAAAATGTGTTCCCTGCAAAGGCAGGCACTAAACCTTGTTCGGCCAACCGAGAACACGGAACTGTGGACCAAGACCAACATCGAATGGAAATGTATGAATCTGAATCTAAACCAGGTCAGGAACCTGAGCTCAGAAGAAGCAAGCGAGCACGAGTTGAAAATTCGTTTAGAAATGATATTTTACTTATCTCTTTGAAAACGAGCCTCAAACATATGCTAAGGTGATAAGGTCTGCTGAAGCGCCTCTTTGGAAAGAGGCCGTAAAAAGTGAAATTGATTCTATTATTCAGAATCACACTTGGGGAACTTGTAGATCTCCCACCTGGTTCGAAACCTCTTGGATCAAAGTGGATATTCAAGAGAAAAATAAAACCAGACGGTACAATAGACAAATACAATACTAGACTTGTGATCAAAGGCTACAGGCAACGAAAAGGCCTAGATTACTTTGACACATATTCTCTTGTCACGAGAATAATATCCATTAGGATGATCCTTGCGATAGTCGCTATGCGGAATCTTGAGGTACATCAAATGGATGCGAAAACGGCCTTCTTAAATGGAGACTTGATGAAGAGATCTTTATGGAACAACCGGAAGGCTTTACAGTTCCAGGAAAGGAAAAGAAAGTCTATAAACTTGTGAAATCACTGTATGGACTTAAACAAACTCCAAAAAATAACATGAGAAATTTGATCATACCATGATGAATAGTAGTTTCAGAATCAATGAGTGTGATAAATGTATATATGTAAAGATCACTGAGTCTAGTTATGTGATAATATGCCTTTACGTAGACGATATACTTATCATTGGTAGCAACGAATATATTGTTAAGTCTACCAAAGACATGTTAAATTCTAGATTTGACATGAAGGACATGGGTCTCGCTGATGTGATCTTAGGAATTAAGATCAACAGAACAAAAAATGGACTAATTTTGAGTCAAACTCATTATGTAGACAAAATTCTCGAAAAAATCAGTAAGGATAATACAGGAATAACGAGAACTCCACTAGACACAAGTATCCATTTATCCAAAAATCGTGGAGAAGGTGTATCCCAAATTGAATACGCTTGGATAATTGGAAGCTTGATAAGTACCTAATGAGCTGCACTAGACCTGACATAGCTTATGCTATAAGCAAGCTGAGTACGTATACGAGTAATCCTAGTAAAGAGCATTGGAAAGCCATAGTTCGTGTACTTAGGTACTTACGGTACACTTGAGATTACGGGCTGCACTACAACAGACATCCAACTATAGTAGAAGGCTACTTAGATGCAAACTGGATATTTGATACTCTCAATTCGAGATCATAAGTGGATATGTGTTTACACTAGCAGGTGCAACAATCTCTTGGAAATCCTCAAAATAAAAAATTATTGCCAAATCCACAATAGAATCTGAGTTCATTGCATTGGATAAAGTTGAAGAAGAGGCGGAATGGATTCGCAACTTTCTTGAGGACATTCAAGAGTGGGACAAACCTGTCTCTGCCATAACCTTTTACTGCGATAGTAAATCTGCTATTGGCAGAGTAGAGAGTACAATGTACAATGGAAAGAGTCGACACATTTGTCGTCGACATAATGCCATAAGGCAACTGATCACAACTAAGGTTATTTTGATAGACCATTTTGCGTCAAAAGATAACCTAGCGGATCCGCTAACCAAATAGTTAAACCGTGATGCAGTTTACAAACTAACTAGAGGAATGAGACTTAAGCCTGCTAAAATATAAGTCTTATGAAGGAAAACCCAACCTAGAAAGATTGGAGATCCCAAGAACTAGATTCAATAGGACAATCTCCCTATAAGACCTATGTGCGTCATTGTGGGGACTAATAGCCTCAACCCATTCCTGTCAACAAACGGTGACATAGTAAGAAGAATAGCAAATCATTGCTTTAATGATCACTAAATAAGAGTTGTATTACTCAAAAACTTAGAAAGATCACCTATGTGAGAGAGAAGTGAAGTCGCTTCAAATGAGAACTGTTCAGGCTCAGTTCTTTAGAAACTCTTGCAGAACCAGGACGGGCTCCATGGCCAAAACGGACCAAACTATAACGAACCGAACTAGGTACATGGATTATGTATCAGTATATAACCTACTTACTAAAATACTGAACAGTTAAAGGACAACGTGTCCACTAGACAGTTGGTAAAGGCTACATACTGCTAAAAGGAAAGTTCAAAAGGATACTTACTTATCCCATGCAGAATTCATCTTTCTTTCATCGAGTCATTGTCTTTCTTCTTTCATGTGGGGGATTGTTGGATTTTTAAAAGGTGAAAGAGGAATATGAAAAGGCTATCTCACATTGGAAACATGAAAGAGTTTTATGTCTCTTTATATAAACATCTATCCCATTTATGATAAATGACAAAATTGGTTGGGCTAGAGCTTTGGCTTGCTTGGGCTTAGGTTAAATTAATAGTCAAAGATAAGGCCTTGGGCCTTGGGGCCGTGGGGGCTCGTGGGCCACACGGGTTGAGCCCAATAACAACAAAATCACTTTTGTATTTTATTATTTTATTTGATTAATTTAATTTGACTTGGAAAATTATATAATCAGATAAAATATTATTGTTGCAACTAAATTGCAACGTGCAAATGTGGGTGAAAGATTAACATCTTCCTCTTCACGTGTTTAAAATAATAAATAATCCCATAAACGTTATTTTTTTATTTTTCTCCTCTTTAAAAACTCAGTATTAAAGCTTACGAAGAAGATCATTATTTTTTTTAATTAAAAATACTCTCTTCTAAAAAACTCTTTCAGAAAACTAATTTCTCTCTACAAGTTTTCTCTCCAAAAAGCTTCCAACTTTGGTTTGTAAAATCTGTTATTCCGTAAGAAATTCGTTCTATCATGTGAGGTAATCGGTAGAGGGGCCGAATTTGCTTCAAGGAAATAGCGTGGTACGCAAGGCTCGAATTCATTTAAATCTAATTTTTGATCTCGTTATCAGATTTGGTGATTTGATTTTGTCACATTTCAGATTCACTGTTAATTATCTAACAAGCCTCACTTGTACCAGGCCGATTCCAGAACCGTTATTTGCTTCCTTCAAAGAAGATTTCAACGTTGAGACTTTCTACAAAATGCTTTTGCAATTGCTTTTAAAAACATAAATTTAAACAAACGAGCCTTAAGTAATTATAAAGTAATGCACAAAGCAAATTTTGTTTGATGTGGAAGTCATTCGAGAGACAAACAAAATTGGTTAATCGAAGTTCTAGTGACGGATTGATGGTGTTCTACTCCGGGTGGCAAGGCAACAACGATGAACAACGGTGAATTAGCATCTCCGAATAACAACATGTCCGATGGCGGTCTAGCTCATTTCTCCGTTGAGTGCGAACAACAACGACCAAGACAGCTAGGTTTCCTTCAATCTACACATCAATAGCTCCAAACAACTTCAGCACCTTCTTTTCCGGACTTCTTTATAATTGACATTCGGCTCAGATCAAGACCGGTCGGGCGCCCGTCCAGGGCCTACTCTAAATAAGACCCATTTTACCTATATTTGTAGTAATATAAATTAATATAAAATATTAATAAATAAAATTCAATCTTAAATTTATAAAAGAATCTCATATTAATTAAATACTTATTATTTATGAAACATATTAAGTATTAAAACTAGTTATGAAGAAGGAAGAGTAAAAATTAATCTCTTATCTTTATATTTTGTAATTTTTTTCATATTATTTTTATATTTACTTTCTATCCAATTATTTTGAGATTTTATATTTTTATTTCAAAACTTAGTAATATTTCAATTTTATAAATTAGGACATTACTTTCAATTTATTATTCTTTCTATTATGCTCTTTAGTTAAATTTTCATTGTTGTGTTTGTGTTGGATTGTCACTGGGACTGGAGCCCTTATTTTTATTTCGTCAAAAATCCGACTAAGTACAAAAAATTCCATGGTAATCACACTTCAAAGAGCGTTCGCCCGGAACTCATCGAATTAAGGCTATATGAGAAAATTTGGAATCGAAAAGGAAAACACAAACAAATAGGCCTAATTGAAAGAATTGTACTAAAGAATTTTTCCTGTTCGTTTCCTGGTTTGAGATTGCAAACCCAAAATTGATTCGTAATTCCATAATTGATATGTTCCATCGACGACACTACGAACAGTTTCAGCCATCATCTCCGGAAGCAACTAGGTCGACAACGGCGGCGGCTTTCCTCCGATTCGGCAGCGGCGACTTCACCGGTCATTTTCTCAGGTGACAGCGACCAGCAGATCTGGAAAGCAGAGGCGGCGGTCAGCGACTTTGCTCCGAATAACAGTGGTGTACTCCGAAACGACGACTGCTCCTCCTCCGGCGAATCACTCGGCGATGGTAACCAACAGCTCCTCTGCCGATCCTGCACCAGTGAAAACGGATCTCTTCTCCGGCCACGAATAGACCCCAATATGTTAAAAGTTCTAAAGCATAAAGTCGCATTTCTAAAGTTGTATTCTTCTTTTTCTTATAACAACTTTTTCTTTAGTCTGTAACTAAGCCTATATAAGGCAGTTTCTTTCCTCAATAAAAACAGATTTTTTACTTATGCTGTTATGCTTCTTATTTCGATTTCATCGTGGTATCAGAGCAATAATCCCTAATCCCTTTCAAAAATTTCTCCTCACTCGCACTAGGTTTGGCATTCCAATCGTGTTAAGATGGCCAACAATGATGAAATTAGAGCAGCGGTCGCTCCAGTGTTTGGAAATTTCGGAGCGTCTGGTTCTGTTTATTGTTCGAGATGACTTTCTTCTCCATGGTTCAGATCATCTTGGTATGATGCTTGTTACTACACCGTTTGATGGTTCAAACTTCCTTGATAGGCGAACTGCTATTGAAGACGCCTTAATTGCAAAGTCTAAAATCGGTTTTATTGATGGTACAATACCGATTCCTGAAGAAACTCACTGGAATTGGAATTTACACAGTAGAGAAGAGCTGAAGGTATGGTTAAAATGTGGATAATCAATTCGATTTCAAAAAAAGTTTCAAAAGCTTTTCGGCTATCCAGAATTATAGAGGAGCTATGAAAAAGTTTGGTAGAAAGCTATGGTCAATGTCATGGACCAAAAATTCTTTGGATCTAAAAGAAAATCGTCTCGCAGGTGCAATACATATGGATAAATTAAAAAAAAACTTGCACCACATCCTGTATGCAAGTGTGAATCTGGAAAGGAATTAGAAGATAAAGAGAATTATCAAGAAAAGAGGATTAAGATGCCTAGTTTAGTTACTGTTGCTCAAGATATTCTAACACCTAGTTCATTGTCTTAAGAAAATTAACAATGCTTGATAAAAAAAAGTGTTGCAAGAGAATTCTCTATCATTCAACATCTCCACTCCTCTTGAATCTATTAATACTGCAATGGAGTATGCATGTACAATCTCTAGTTTTTCAACATTATGTAAGGCAGATAAACATGTTTGGATTATAGGTTCTAGTTCTTCATGTCATTTATGTGGTGATGCGCATATGCTTGTTAATCCTTTGTCACTTACCACAACATATTATGTTATTTTACCTGATGGCACGCGCAAATTTGTCACTCTTAATATGAATCTTGTTTCGGTGAAACGGTTAACTGCATATCAGCCTTGTACAGTTCAGTTCACTAAGACTAGATTTATGGTGCAGGACCTAACTAATCATGCAACTCTATTGGCTAGGAAGCTGACTAAGCACCTATATGAGTATGTGTCTAGTTCTACTGATGATAAAGTTTCTTTGGAATTTGCTGCTAGCATTGTAACTACTGTGAGTACTAATAATAATCTATGGCATAAAAGACTTGGTCACCCTTCACTTGGAGCAATGAAACATATTCCTGTTTGTACCTCACTTGCCAATTTACATAAACATTGTGATATTTGTTTTCGCTCTAAGTTTCACAGATTGAGTTTTGAGAAAAACGACTCATGCTCCTTTAAGCCTTTTGAACTATTGCATGTTGATGTTTGGGGACCGTATGGCACCATTAGTATATTAGGGCTCGATATTTTCTAACTTTGGTTGATGATGATTACTCTAGATGCACTTGGATCTATCTTATGCAATGTAAAAGTGAAATAGTAGGCCTTTTGAAAATGTTTGCAGCTCTTGTCCAGAATCAATATAATTGCAGAATAAATGTTCTTAGAATGGTTCAAAATTTTTGAATTCTGCTTGCAAGTCTCTATTTCATGGGCACTGATGATGCATTGTGCGAGCCTCACGAGGAAAATATAGATCAGGAACTTTCTTCCAATTCATCTCCTCTAGTTCTGCGGAGGTCACTGAGAGTAACAAAACCTCCTAGAAAATTTGCGGACTATGACTGCTCCTATGTCGTTTCTTATGTTCCAGCCTCTAATCTAAATGACAAGTCTTCATCTTATAATCAAGCTAAACTTCATGCTCATTGGGTTTAAGCCATGGTTAAAAAGTTAGATGCCTTAGAAAAAAATCACGCCTAGATAGTTATCACACTTCCATATAAACTGCTATTGGTTGTAAATGGGTATTTCGAACAAAGTTTAATTTTGATGAGACTGTCAATCGCTTTAAAGCGCACTTGGTTGCCAAGGGATATCATCAGGTTTATGGCGTTGATTATAGTGAATCTTTTGTTGCGGTTGCTAAACATATTACCTGTTGCAGCCTCTTCTAACTGGAAGCTTGCACAATTAGATCATCAATAATGCTTTTCTCCATGGGTCACTCGAAGAGGACTTATATATGATTCCACCACCTGGATACCAAAAATCTTCTTCCGGTTTAGTGCTTAAGCTTCATCGATCTTTTTATGGTCTCAAGTAGGCCCTGCGCCAATGGAATCGTGCCTTGATCTTGTTTCTCTTACAATATGGCTTTACTCAATCATCTCATGATTCTTGCCTCTTTAAACTGCATGCTGCTACTTGTTGTTTATGTGGATGATATTTAGTTACAGGATCAAATTCTGCTGTAATTGACAAATTGAAAGATGCCTTGGATAAGGAGTTTACAATTAAGAATTTAGGTGATGCCTCTTATTTTCTTGGTTTGGAATTGTCTATATCCGTAGATAGTATTCGGGTTTCACAGCAGAAACATATTGCTGATATATTGGAAGACATTGAGGACACTCTTCCTTCCCATGCATCTATGCCTCTACCTCCCCATACTGTTCTTACAAGCTTAGGTTTTCATTTTCATTCTCCTCTTGGTTTTCACCGGTTGATTAGCCGACTTCTTTACCTTGGTGCCGGATATTTGCTTTGATGTGCAACAACTTAGTCAGTTCATGCATGCTCCCACCATAGATCATTGGGTCGCATCTTTGCATGTGGTTTCGTTCATGAACACACCAAACATCTAGAGGTCGATTGCCATTTAGTGCATCACCATTATTCCACTGATTTCGTTCTGCCCCAGCATGTTGCATCCGATCATCAGCTTGCATATATGTTTACTAAGAACTTCCCTTTGAAACTTTTTCATCATCATTTCTCCAGGTTGAACCTCTCAAACTTGGGCTCAACCTTGCTCGGGTATCAAGTTCTAAAGCATAAAGTCGTATTTCAAAATTTGTAATCTTCTTTTTCTTATAACAACGCTTTATTTAGTCAGTAACTAAGCCTATATAAGGCAGTTTCTTTTTTCAATAAAACAAATTTTTTACTTTGCTATTATGCTTCTTATTTCACCCACCGAAATCGGCACTCAAAAAAGACTTTTTACGCTCATCGGAATTCCTCTCTCTCTCTATCTCGCTGATGAAATTCTCCCCAAAAGACCCCTCTTTTTTTTTTCACCCTCTCACTCAAGGAATGAACTATTGGGATTAAATAGCTCACAACCACTCACGGTTATAAGAAAATCACTAAGGATTGGACTTAAGGTTGGTGGACCGAGCTAAGGAGTGGACTAACTAATGTATTATCAAATGACTCGTTGGGTTTGATCTCGAATGGTCAAAATTTTCAATACTCTCCCCCTCCCCTTTCTATTTCTCACACTATCGGTTTCTTATAAAATATGAGCAAAATTGTCCATAACGTTTTGAAATTCAGAGTAAATCTCATTGTACTTTAAAAATTGCATGACGCATTTTTATACTTTAAAAAACATTGTATGAAACTTTTTTCACATTTTTTATATGATGAGAAGATAATTTCATATTTATATTTTTTGTATCACGGGGGTTTCATAAGAATATTTTTTTAAAGTATAAAGGTACGCTATTCAATTTTAAAGTAAATAGAAAATTTACGCTGAATTTCGAAACCACAGAAAAATTATGGACAATTTTGAGACTAACTACTAAAATATGGATTGGGCCACAATAAACCTAAGTTCCCAATATTTCATAAGCCGAATATTTTCTACCATAGCAAATGTATTATATGGTGTTCTATTTACATATACTTCTGAAATTTTTGATATTATTCATCTACACAATGATTTTTAGAAAAATATCTCCTAAAATATTAGATAAAATACTAATTTTTTATTATTATTAAAATTTTCAAATTCGAAAACTTCAAAATTTTCTATTTAAGCAATGTGTGACAAATTTTTGTTAATCGTAAAGCTAACCAAATGAATTGAACTCATTGAGTTAGCCTATCCTACCATTTTTTTTTTTTTTTTCTTTTCTTGTAAATAGTGTTACAATTACAATTTTTTAAACTTACAAACCAACTCATAGAAGCTCCGGTTTGAAAGTAAAGTGAGATCGATCATCTTGAAGGCCGAACTTAATATAATCTGTATATTATATATTTGAGAGCGCTAGGTTTTGATTTAACTTTTTTTTTTTTTTTTTTTTTAGTTTTTAATAAAATAATTATATTAATTGATATAATTAATATGTTACTCTTAATATTATGGGTTTGACTTAAATTTTTCTTTTTCTTTTAGTTTTTAATAAAATAATTATATTAATTGATATAATTAATAGGTTACTATTAATATTATATAGTTATATTGAAATACTTAATGAATTTATAACTAGTATATATTTATTAAATATAAATTTTAAAATTTATTATTATTATTATTATTATTATTATTATAATATATTTGAGATCGGTAGATTCTCACGTGATTATTTCTTTTTTTTTTTTTAATTTTTTAATAAAAGTAATTATATTAATTAATTGATATAGTTAATATGTTATCATTGATATTATATAGTTATTATTGATATAATTAATCAAATTATAACTGATAAATATATTTATTAAAATTTAAAAATTATTATTATTATTATTATTATTATTATTACTATTATTATTATTGTTGTTGTTGTTATTGTTGTTGTTTATATATAATATATTATATATTTGAGCTCGGTGGGTTTCATATGACCAAATTTTTAATTTTAAATTATTTTAATAAAAATAATAATATTAAGGGAAAGTTGAATTAAAATCCATGTAAGATAAATTCACTTGAAATTCAAGTCTCAATTGAAAATTAATTAGACTGCAGTCCCTACTTTAGGAATTAGGTTTGTTATAACTCCCTAATTTTGTTTTTTTCCCAATCACCGTTGTATACGCAATAGGTAGTCGAAATAGGTTGATCAATACTTCCAATATTGTAATATATACCTACATTATTTTCCGTTCTACCCCCATTATAACTTTGTATACTTCTACTTAAATATCGCGTACTTTTTTCGCGAATTAAAAAAAAAAAATTACCCACGATTTAACAGGGGTTGAAGCAGGAAACGTTTCATAACTTCCCTCATCCCTATTTAAACCCTACATCTTCCATCTTCAGGCGAACCCTGACGCCCTCCAATCCTCAGCGGTCAAGTGGCGACCGATCGGTGTAAAAATGGTGAAAAAAAAAATAGCTGACGTGCTCCCATCCCCAAAACAAGATCGAAGAAGTAAGTGTCTGGTCAAACCTTTTTCAATTGTTTATTTTGTTGACATTAGTATTTTATATTGTAGTTTGTTCGATTGTTTGGGGTGTAAGCTTGGTCCTGTATTTGTATGTCTCGGTTCGATGTTGAGGAGTCCTAGGTGATCGATGTAGTTGTGTTAGTTAACCGGGTTTGAAATTGTTTGTATATTTGCCTACGTAGATCGGGTTAGATGTTTTAATTTGGCACTGATTTTGGGTGATTTTATTTATTTAATCTATAATTTTTGTTACTTTTATAGACTTTTGTTTAGTTAACCGGAGTTGCATATTTGAGTTTTTGTGTTTGATTATTCGGTAATTAGTAATATTTGTGGATTGACAAATGTGTAATTTGTTGGGCACTCCGAGTTGCATTTTTCAGGTTAGTTAATTGCTAAGTAGTATATTTTAAGGGGACTACTGTATACTCGGAATGTGTTGTTACGTACTCCTGATATATACTGATAAAATTTTAAATAAATTCGAGATTTGGGTAATATAGACTGATGATATTTATTTACATACCGGAGAAGGAATACAAATTGGTTATCAGCAGATTTGCAACACTATTTTTCCACAATAAGGTGGAGAAACTGAAAAAAAAAAAAAAAAAAAAAAAAAAAAAAAAAAAAAAAAAGCATGTTGGATGAACATATTAGAGCCATTAAAATGACTTCGTTTAGTCATTTTTTGGATTGCCCCAATATGAGACTGACGTGGCACCGCCTTCCTGTCTTGGTTAATAACTTCAGCCCGGAGTCCACGTCATTCAACATCCGAGCCGACATTGAGCTACCCTTTGAAGTGGAGGAATATTCTATAGTCTGAGGACTACATTCGACGGGATTTTACGTCAGGGACAATGCATCAGCAGCGATGAATGCTTTGTTAGGATATTTTGGGGGCAAGTCACGTTCTCTGGCCTGTGCCTAGGTGTTGCAGAAGCTGCATGAGGCTCTAGCGCAGGGACTGGAGCTTTTATCCGTTGTTGATGTAGCGCGTCTCTTTATTTTCCTTATTTTTACAAATATTTTATTTTGTACGGCAAATTATTCTGTACCTCTGTTTTTTGTTACCGTATGTGGATGACCTTACTGCGATTGGTGACTATGCATGGTGACGAAGCAAGAAGATTAATTGGGCCTGCCTGAATTTCAACAATCACATCCATATTTGTATATGGAATTGATTATTATGTATTTTCATTCGGAATTATCTCGGTTGTTGGAGCTAAATTTCTTAATGATTCTGTAAATGGTTAGAATAATGAATGGAGTTTTTATAAATCGAGTTAGTATGATCGGATTCCAGCGATATACTTTAAATAGCAGTTTATGTACTTGCATAATACTCATAAAAATACTCCCAATTAGAATATTTACAATGTCTACTACAATGCCATTGAATGTGTTGCATAACTTGTTGAATATATACGTACAGTGATTAAACTTTTCGTTAGGGTATAATAGATGATAACAGGGGACATGCTCTCATCGAGTTCCTTATGCTCCTCTTTTAGAGGATTAACTGTTGTTGTAAATAATCAATTATATTTACGGATACTTGGTACTTTACACCTAATACCTTATCTATAAATATGTGTACCTCTATTGTCAATTTTAATACCCGGTATATACATTCATGTACCTACATACACTATATTTATATCGTAATTCACTAGTTATGTACCTATAATATAATACCAAATGCTCCGAGTAC